GGGGTCTTCCTCTTTTTCTCTGATCCTCCATCTTACCAAACATGTTATCTTTCTCAGTGACTGGTCCCTCCTGACATTATGTGTGAAGTATGAGACACTAAGCTTGGCCATTTGTACCAGTAAAGAGACACAGAGAACAGAATGGATAAGAAAACAGGATCCTTCAATATGCTCTCTACAAGTGACATAGCAATAAGATGGAGACTGCCTAAATGCTCACCAACAGAAGAACAGCCTAACAAACTATGGTATATGTACACAGTGAAATACTATAAAACGTTGGAGAATAACGATGAATCCATGGTTGAACCTGGAAGACATGCTAAATGAAATTAGTCAATCACAAAAGGACAAATGTTATATGAGACCAATGTCATAAAAAGTTAAAATAAGGTTTTCTTGATAAAAGAAACAATCTGTGACAGTTACAGGGGGTGAATGATGGGAAAATTATTCAGGGGCTAGACGGTCGACATGTGGTAACATGGGTGACAACAAGAGTGAGGTGAGTAGAGGTAAGTGAAAGGTAGTGGGAGATATGAAAGAATGCAACAGGTAAAATGAATAGAGGTAAATACTGTTAACGGTTGGTACATGATGGGAATTGCAACCATACTGAATGTAAAACTGATAAATCTGCTTTATAAACCTTCACTCAATTCAACAGACCAAGAAAAATAAGAAAAGAATCAAATAATTAAAATCAAAACACTCAGAGTCATGGTTTAGCAATGTAGGATAAGCACAGGACTGCTAACCACAAGGCTGGTAATTCACGCCTACCAGCCACTGTTTTTGTTATTGCTGTTAATTGCCGCTGAATAGATTTCTCATAGCAACTCTGAGTATCTGAGGAGTGGCTAGTGGGTTTCCACTCCTTGGAAACCCTCAACAGGGTCACTATGAGTCGGAACTGACTCAACAGCACTTAACAAACAATGACTGCTACCTTACAGAAATAAAACGAATTACAAATGAATGCCAAAACACTGGATTGCTTGATAAAATGGACAAATCTTAGCAGATATTAATTGCTACAGCTGAATCAAGAAGAAATAGAGAATCCGAGTAGTCAAACAAGCGAAGAGCCTAATTTAGTGATTTTTAAAAACTTTACACAAAGAAAACTCCAAGTCCATGTGGCTTTCCCACTGAATTTTACCACAAAAATATGACCATTGCATTTTCATAAGATAAAATGCTGTACATACCTATAATGAAATACTACTCAGCAGTATAAAAAACAGAGTTCCCAAACATTTTGAATATGGATAAAACTGTTGTTGTTTTTTATTTTTATTTTTATTGCTGTTAAGTGCCATGGAGTAAGTTCCAACTCATAATGACACTATATAGGGTTTCCAAAGAGTAGCTGGTGGGTTTGAACTGGCGACCCTGTGGTTTGCAGTCCAGTGCTGATCCTACAGTGCCACAAATTAAAAAATATTACATTTAGTGGTTCCAGGTGTGGGCGTGTGGGTTAAAGCACTGGACCACAAGGTCAATTTGAACCACAATGTCGCAGTTCAAACTCACCAGCGGCTCCTATACAGGGTCGATAGCACTTCACAACATAATTAGTGAAGTAGGTGAATGACACTAAAACAAATACTGTATGTTCTCAGTTTCATGAAATGACTCGCACAAGTAAAAATACAGAAACTACTGTTCAATAATGGTTATCAGGAATACGGTAGATGGAAAGAGAGGGATTCACTCTGAATAACTGTGTTGTTATTAAGTGCCATTGAGTCAGTTCCAACTCATAATGACCCTGTACAGGATTTCTGAGGCGCATCTGATAGCTTAGTAGTCCAGGGCTTATTCTACAGCACCACACCAGGACTTCTACATTAGGAAGATGCAAGGGCACAAAATAAACTATGAAAGATTCTTAGACATAAACATACAATCACACTTTCACCTTACAGGAGACTGAGTGAAAAAATAAGATTAATATATGAACTTACTCATCTTCATGGAAGCTAAGTTGTAGCTTCTGTTTTGGTTCAGTATCGTTCTGAATGCTGTGAAATGATTCAGATGGAACCGAAAATCTCCCATCTACTAAGTAAGATGCTTGGATATTAGAACACCTAAGCAGACACACACAAAAAAATTGTTTTAACTGTTAACAATTAAATTATTTCAAATTAAATTAAAAATTCACCATGACAAAGGGCTGCACGATACTAAAATCAACCATCTGATATGAAAAACAAATAGGACCCACATTGTTCAAAAACCATTATCCTTGGTGCAAAGCACAGAAATCCTGTGTATCAGCAATGATGTAATTAAACATATTAAACAATAGTTACATAAATCATAAAACTACTAACTTTTATAGAGAACTAATCCCATCCCTTTGTCTCAAAGATAAAGATAATGCTCCTTATCAAATGTTTAGGTTGAAAACGTTTGGAAAAGTAAATAGTATATTTAAGCACAGGCAAAATTTACACATTACACAAGGTCCCAGTATGACACTTGAAGATAGAAAATAAAATACATTTAACCAAACAGCTACCTGGCTATAGAAATAGAATGATTTTTGTTAAGAAAACAAAAGCTGGTTTAGTGCTACTAAAGAAAAGAAATTTGATTAGCATGGTGCTATAGAAAATGCTTATTAGTAAGGCCCTTCTAATCACAGTATTTATAATTCCCACTAAATGACTGATCAGAATTATGCAAATACAAGGTACTTATGGCCCACCAAGGGGACTGGAGAGTGTGCTAATAGTGAAAATATGGGGCACAGCACTCTTGTGGAAGTAGAACATTACAAATATGGTATTTGGAGCCCTAACAAGATTGGTTAGTTTTGCCATTGTGCTAAGCTTAAAAAGAGAGTCATCTCAGAGGTAGCAATGGGGAAATCTCACTACCATCAAGAAAGAAGAAACAGGAGGAGACCTGAGCTTCTTGATCCAGGATACAGAGTTGTGACACCAGAAAGAGAGAGAAAAGACAAGGAGCAGCAGAGAAGCAGTGGCATCAAAGGCAGCAGCACCTGCACTAAGTGGAGCAGTGAACTCCCAGGTCCATGGAGCAAGAAAGGTGAGTGCCTTTAGGACAAGAGACTTGCTGGTGGAGTGGAATACCTCCAGGCACATGGTGGAGCTTTGTTTGCCAACCCATGGAGCTGAGCTCCTTAGGTTCAAGGCTAACTGGCAGAGTGGGGTGCCCCAGGTACTTATCACCTGAGCCAAAAGAGTTCTGTTAACATTTGCCTGAGCAAGGGGCCACAGATTGTAGTGAGACATGCCTACCAGCACATGAGATGAGGCTGTCCAGATTGAAGAATTGTATGTACTCTGAGTCATTCCTGAACCTCAATTGTAGCCTGTTTTTACTAAGTGCCATCCAGTCAGTACAGACTCATAGCAACCCTGTACAGGGTTTCCAAGGCTATAAATCTTTGTAGGGTCAGCTGGTGTGCTTATGGTTAACAGTCCAGTGTTTATCTTCTAATACCCTGTTATTTCCATAATAAAACCCATAACTCTGATCATGGTCTATGAGTTCTGTGTAGCCACTGCAACAAATTATCAACCCCAAAAAGGTTGGTGTATGAACTGGTAAAAAGTTTGAATGGTGGAATCGTGTCTAACCTCTCTCTCACAGGAATCAACCTTGGTAGCGGATGCTGGTGATCTTGATTCTCCTCTCGTCATGTGAAGTTAGAGGAGGTTGGACACCACCCCCATATCATTTTTTTTTACAACTAAGGAACTAAACCGAATGTTGTGACAATGATAAGATTTATTTCACAGATATATACTATACTCCTGGTGTGGCACTGAACGGTAAGCACTGCACTGCTAACCACAAGATCAGTGTTTCAAAACCACCAGCTGCTCCTTGGAAACCCTATACAGGGTCACTATGAGTTGAAACCAACTCCACAGCTCTTAACAACAACAACATACTATACACTGAAGAAGAAAAACAAATTGTGCAAACATGGTGAAAAGGTGAACCTGGCTAAAACGAAGTACTCTACAAAGACATCATGTCCCATAGCCTAGATGTCTAAAATAGGGATGGATGCCTTCACTAAGCTAGACAAACAAATCATAAGATTTTAAAATATAATTGATTAGTTCCTTCGGCAGCTCCATATGATAAGTACAGGACTTCGAACCACAAGGTACGTGGTTCAAGGCTGCCAACCGCTCTATGGGAGAAAGTTGAGGTTTTTCTGCTCAAGTGAAAATTTAAAGCCTCAGTAACCCTATACAGAATCTCCATGAGTCGGAACTGACTCGATAGCATACAACAACATAGCTGGAAATATAATACATATATACCTTTTAGGATTGTATTTTGCCATATTTACAACACTGAATACCAAAACCAGATAAATCTACTGTATTCAAAGACAAGAGAATAAAACCATTACACAGAGGGAAATGGTGAGGAAAACCAGACCTCAGTCCTAATTGCTCCTCAGATCCGTATTTCTGTCCCTTTTTGCTCTGTATTCCTGCTCTTCACTTATTGAGTCATTCCAATGCCCTATCATTAATCTCCCTTCTGAATTTCACTAACTAAAATTGGTTTATATTACCAGCAACCAGTAGGGCTGAATTAATGTAAATCCAAAGCTGAGACTCACCCACCCACCCTATGAGATAATGAGATGAGTAAAGAACTTTATCTTCTTTATATTCATTTTAGCTATTTGGTCATCTCCCTCACATATAAAGCAAAAAGTTCAAGCTTGACTGAGAAATGTTATTAAGTATCAGTATGTTGTACACTTTATAAACCTAAAAAATAAAAAATACATCACCTGTTAAAATACACCTTACCTGTCATCAGTACTGGCTCTATTTCTAGCAAGTGTAGAAACCGCAACAGGCAAGCCAAGATTTGAAGAAAGAGAGACATTTTCTAAAATGCCACTATTACCAATTAAGGAATTGGTTAAGAAGCTCGGAAATGACTCTTCATCTATACCTCGAAAATCTTCCATTTCACTGCAATAGGAACAACAACAAAAAACATTTGTAAATCAAATGTTACTATAAAACTTTTTCAAAGAATTAAGATTAAGAGTACTAGTCTCATAGATAATATAAAACTTTTAAATCTTAGGAAGAAACAAACACTTTGGGATATGTCTCTAAAAAAGGGATACCAGAAGAAACAAGATGGCGCATCGGGTGGATGTATAGCAGAGAGCTCCGCCAACAACACAGAATACCCGATAAAGCAGGCTTAGGGGATGGTCCCAAAACTCTGAACCACATATAAAGGAATACTTAGAAGGTTGGAAGGCTAACAGCTGGGGGAATTTGTGGTAGAAGTAAGAAATCTATTGCTTTCCAGTCCAGGACACTCGGCTGCTCCAGGAGCCGCCATATTGGGTGAGACCATGTGGGGGAAAGATCAGAGCGGCCACAGATGCCTGGCAGAACCACTGAGATAAAGGTGTGGACATTCTTCTCTTTTGGTAGCTGTTCACTGGTCCCTTGCTGTCTGCGCACCTCCACTCTGGTGACTATAGGG